TCGTTCTCCTCCAGATCCAGCAGCTCCAGATCCTCCAGCAAACTGACTGGACTCAGGTCTGAGACGCTGTTGAACGCCGCATACAGCTCCTGAAAAAACACCAGCATTTAGGACTCCTTCACTTTATTTAGTGACTTTAAAATACAAACATACTGCAGTTCATGATAAGTAATAGTGTGATCTGTTTAGAAAAAGAAGAGTTTCATCAGTTCAGTCTCTGCAAGCCTTTGCTTCTAAATGTTGTTGGATACCTTTAAAGAGGAAAGAGCAGAAATCCCCTCCAGGTCGGTCAGACCACATCGAGCCAGACATAAGACCTGCAGGAGGGAGAAGCCGGTTCGCAGACTGTGAGAAGAGACGACAGAAAACACACATATTCATCAGATTTCTCAGATGTGATGCATTTATTCTTACTCTCTCAGTCATAAACCAACCCACAGCCCAGTCACTTCAAATCACATTACTGTTCCTCACAATGTGAAAGTCACGCTAACATGTGGCTCCCCCAAATTCTTATCACCAGAATAACTGTATCAAGAGTTATTGTAACACATCTGACCGAAGTTGTCCAGAGTCTCCTCTCGGGTGTCAACACACATCTCCAGCGACCACACTTCTTGTAAATCGTCTGACCCAGAAAGGATTTTCTGAAGAAAGAAAGCCTCTTTATTTCAGATGTAATATGCTGTTTGGACACGGTTTCGTCTCATCGCTGAGCTCGTACCAGTTTCTCCGCCGACAGACTTGGACACGGTTTCGTCTCATCGCTGAGCTCGTACCAGTTTCTCCGCCGAAAGACTCTGATCGAGCAGCAGCTCTTCAGCAGCAGCAGCAGCAGCAGGTTTGGGGTTTAATGAACCAGATCCACTGAACTCAGTCACGATGGAGAGAGCTGTGCCCGGTCTCTTCTTTAGCGACGATTCACCAGACATTTGCAAAACCCTGGAATAAAACTCTCCGTTTGGGAGAAAACGGCAACTTCAATGAATTTAGTAGCCTAAGTAAGCTGTTCAAATGACATACAATATATATTTTATACAGTTTCGTTCATTTCTTACCTTTTGAGGCCAAATAACGTGATATTCAGTGTAGTATTTGTCTTTTGCCTCACTGGACAGCAAGTGGGAAAGTTTGCATAGCAACGGAATATACTTCCTGGATACTACATACGGGGCCACCTGGGATTTGTAGTCCATTACTATACGTGGCGTTGTTTAAAATAATTAAAATGTCTGTAGTAGATGAATGTTGAAAAATGTAAAGAATAAATTAAGGGAAGGTTAATTAAAAAAAAAAAAAAATTATTTCTTGACTGAATAATAACAGACAACATTTGAGTTATTATGAAGCTTTACACAAGTGTTCTTATGTGATTGTTGTGGCACCCTAAATAGTCCACTGTGGAAAAACAATGTAACAGTCTCTCCCTCGATATATTCCATAAACAGATCACATAAGCAACATCAGCAGAAAGAAAGAAAAAAAGCCTGGTCAGGATATTTACTCAAATTTGATGACAGAAACTGATGATATGATAATAATGTGAACATATCACTATACTTGCCAGATGTTTTCAAAACTCAACCGAATGTAGGCCTACTAACTAACTAAATAAATAAATGTATTTTGTTTTTTTTGTGAGGGTTAGAGTTAGGCCCGGGGTACTCAACAGGCCCGTCTGCAATAATTTTGTGGCCCGTGTCATGCTGAAGATTAATGTATTTTTATTATAATCTGCGCTCAAAAGTAGCACAAATATTAGGCGGTGTGACTTTTTCTTTGTCATTTAAATGCAGTTGATACTCCTGACACTTTGCATTGTGTAAATGGCAGATGGTCCTCTTAGTAGCATGGAAAGCAAACTTGTATTCAAATTGTGAATGGGTAAAAGCAAGCAAAAAGCACTTCATTACAATGAATGGAGCTGTCATCACGTCAATGAGCTCACGGAGTTTTGCGCCATTGCGAAACCTCGACTAGCATTGGATTATAAATATACTTTATTATTAAGAAAATACCAGAGATGGCTTGAAGAACACAGATAAACCATATATTGTTGCGTCTTGTGTTTATTGTCTTCATGTTTAATCAGTTCAAGCGTTTCTATTCTCACTAAAGAAATTTGTGAACTATATTTGCTCAAGAATGTTTTGAGTTAGAATATTCTGAGATTGTTTAATACTCTGTTTGGGTATGAATACATTGCATTGATACAGCAAAACAAACTGTTAATCCACTTTTTTGTTCCACATTTTTTTAAATGTTTTATTTTCATGTTCAATATTATTTTAAATAGGACAAGGAAAAGCTAGAATTAGGTAAGTAATAAACTGCATTTCTAAATCAGTAAAACTGCAAATAAAGTCTTATAATGCAAATTGTAATTTGTGGCCCTTCACATTTTATGTGGTTTAAATGTGGCCCCCTTGGCCTCTTGAGCTTGAGTACCCCTGGCTGGGCCATATCTATATTTTATTTTTATTTTTTAATAAAATATTAAATTGAAATCAAAATTAAAATAATTTTATTGCAAGGGGCCAGCCTAAACATGTAACTTAAAACATAAATTTAAAATATATATGTTTAAAAAACAAATATATAAATTTACTAGTAATAATAATAAAAGTGCCAAAATGTTAACAAGATAGCAGTAGCACATGCTTAAAAGTAACCTTTTAAATAATTCAACTTTTTTTAAAATTAGATTTATAAATGAATGAAAAAAACTCTACAATTGTGACCTAGTTTAGTCATAAACTTGCATTATACTGTAAATAATGAAACAGGAAGTGTCGCACTCCAAAAATAAATTTGTTTTTTTTTTACGGGACAAAAAATGGATACAGTACGTTTGAATTGCTGTGTGCAAGCCAAGGATGAGGATCCGTGTTCTGGCGGGTGTAGATTGTACTAATCCGATTGGTTGTTGTGTTTTTGGAGGCGGGACCAAGCCTTGTGATTGGCTGTGTTCTCGGTCGATCAGCTTCTCAGGCGCTGAACGAGCCACTTTTCTGGAATCGGCGAAAGATACCGAGCAACGTCACCAGGATCTACTTAATATTCATAAGCTGAGCCTTTGCTGTAGTAGGATTGGTGACTGGGCCGAGGGGCGGGGCTGTGTGTGTGGGGCTGGGCGTAGGCTGTGCTACACACACACACACACACACACTACAGCGGAGCACATTGTTCACACTGGACTGTCTGCTACATCTAATGCAATCCAGGAAAAGCTGAAGTAAAAGACATCTCCTGGAGAGTGACTGTATCCGGAGAATCAGAGGTGAAGTGACCATTTTTTGTTATTAAAGCATAAATCGTTTGATTGCAATGTAATATTGTAAGGAGACCAAGTGGACCGACTCATAGTGGCAAGTATTGCTTACCTAAAACACATATTTTAATTAATTTACACACACAGTTGGACGATATTTATGGTGATTATTGGTGCGTTTTTAGAAATGCATGGATAATGTTTACATTTGTATGAGCGATCAGTCATCGATGGTCCTTATGGATTCCAGGACTATTCTGTAATTTTAATAATCAGCGTTTTATTTAAATTATTTGATGAAAGTAGAAAGAAGAAATAATGTAGTATTTATTTAATTAGTTTATATTTTATTGACCCAAACCCGTTCAAGCATCTAAACAGTGAATCAGATCGGTTTACACTGAGTCAGACGCTAGTAATCGATCAGACTGACCGTTGCTTCCTCTCCCGCCAGCTTGCCGTTACCGGAAAAGATTTCACGTCTAACACTGAATGTAAACATGTTGTGTGTTGTCTAATTTGTTAGGTTTTAGCGGCATCCATGTGACAGTTACGAGCCTCTCTGTATAAACTCGGGTGACGCCCCATAGTACCGGACGAACGATTGCAAATTCTACTATGACTAAGAGGAGCTCATGAATATTAAGCAATCCATCCTAAGTTTGTGTTGTAGCGGTCCAATGGCGAAGGACCGTTTGCTGAATACTAATTAGTTTCCGCTGACGTCGCTTGGTCGCGGCCAATGGCAAAGGCTCCCCTTATGAATATTAAGAGACCTCAACATAGTAGGATTTGTGATTTCTGGACGATGAAGAGCAGTGCGGAAGTTTAATAGTCTGTTTTAATGCAGGTCAATCAAGTTAAGTTCGCTTAAGTACAAAAGTTTGATATTTTATTGCAGTAAAATCCAGTAGTAGATTTTTTTTTTAATACTGTACAGCGTGTGAAAGTAAACAAATGTTCTTCTGAAGCCTTATAGACTGTTAACTGTTATTTAAAGGTCACATATTGTACACCTTTCTGGAGTTTTATTTTAGGTTTTGATGTCCTTAAGAATATATATTTGCGGTATGAGTACCAAAAACCATCTCAATATATTTTTACAGCTTCTCACTCAGGAGCTCTGCTGAGAACAGGTCGATTTTGTCCTGTCTAATTAATATTCATGAGCCTCTCTTCTGATTGGCCTGTTGTGTTCTGAGTGACGCACGGCCAGGCCAACCACAGGTAACTAGGGTCAGCGACATCACAGCGCTAGCTGGAGGCAGCAAAACAAAGGAGAAACTGGAGGCGGCCCATTCAAACCAGTGCAGATTCGGCTGCATAAGGAGCTTAAAATATCATCTTGTTGTGATGTTGGGTGCCAGAATTGACGTAATACAGCCTGAAATTAGAAATTTGATCGCATATCTGCTGCCACTGCCAGACAAAAAAAACGATAAACGCAATAAAACGAGCGGACTGGACAGAAACGATCGTCAAAAATACTCAATATGATGAGTAGGTGCTGTCACATTATGCGACTCGGTTTTATCAATTAATATTAGATTAATTTGTATTTAGAGGCTCTTTTTTCACAATATTTACATCATATTAAATAACTATAATACACTTAATGCATTTGTCTTTCGCTATGCCTTTGAATCTGAACCAAAACCTGCTGAACATATTTAAGCAGGTCTAAGATGTTTTCTGGTCTCATCTGGTCTCACAGGCTGGTTTTAAACGGGTTTTGGGCTGGTCAGGTTGAGAGATTAGCTATCCTAGCCAAAGACCTGCCAGGTTAAACCAGTTAAGTCTATCTGAAACCAGCTAAGACCAGTGTTGGATGTCGTTATCTAAAACTATTTTAAAAAATTCTTAATTGCAAAAAAAAAAAAAAAAAATCTTAAATGAAAATTAGAAATGTTGTGCAAAAGCTAAATAGAAAAACTCATAAAAATGACAAAAAAATAAAAATGACAATCACCTAGTAAAATTACTAAAACTTAAATTAAAAATAAATGCTAAAACATTAATAAATACTATAATAATGCTAAAATAACACCGTCTAAGACCAGAAAACCATTTTTTTAAAAATTATATTTATTTGAGATATATTGTTGCATCATGAATCATTTAATTCATATGCACTAAGTTTGAGATATATGGATGCGTTCATATTTTTGTTGACATTTTATGTCATTTTTCTCCATACCGTGCAGTAGGGCTGCACAATTAATCAAATTTCTAATCGCAATTACAGTTATGGATACCACGATTATGTAATTGTTCAAAGCGGCAATTAATCGTTCAAAGTCCACTTATGTTATTCTGCCTGCTTAAGATGTGTTTTTCTTTCTACAGGCTATCTTAAGGGTTTTTCCATTGTTTTAATTTTAGTTTTAGTGTAACATTATAATACCATGCATATTTTTTACTTTTTCTTATTTAGAGAAGAAACCAATCCAATGTATAGTTGACATTTGTGGCTTAATGCTTTAGAAAAGCAATAAAAGAAGCTTGTTTATTTTTCTATACAAATATGGCATGCAGTTGCTTCAAACAATGGTATAAACATCATTCAATGTAAATTGTGATAATTATAATTAATCATCGCAATTACAATTTCAAGGGAATAATCGACAATTATGATTTTTGTGTAGCCCGTACCATGCAGTAATGTATTTCCCATGCATTCAGACAATCATTGTCTTGAAGTGTCTGCAGCGGAGGGCAGCACATTTAGGCTAGACAGATGTAATGATCTGGCCAGCGCTGGTTATTTTGGGGGATGATGTCAGTCTCCCGCTCAGTCTGGATCTGTTATGGGTCCTCAGTGTTTGATTCCTTCGTCTCCCATGTGAGATTCCCTTTACTGTCTGAACCGGACTGGAAATCACGCCTAGTCCTGTAGGGTTGCGGCTCAGGGAAAATTGATACTTCAGATTCTGTTGAGACCATTTACTTGTACCCTAACATAACGTTTAGCAATATAAGATTTTAAATTACTCTAATTGTCGGGATCACAATGATTAGGCAAATCATTTTCATTCCTAATCCTAGGTATTGGATGCATGTCAGTAAAACGCAGAGCTGATAGTGTCAGTAAGTTTATCCTGAGCGTCCAGAGGGACTATAGGGTTTCATATTGGCCGCTCATGGTGACAGGGTGTATGTATGCGGCTCTAAAGTCTTGGCAGATCCCAGAGATGTCTAGTTCTTGCTTTCAGCCTTGCCTGTAGTTTTTCAATGATAAATCACATCGCTTGCTGACGAGAGGAATGTTGTTGCTTTCCTAAGCAATCACACTTACCATATTCACCTGCCAGATGATAAAACGGGTGAAAAATTCCTTAGACTTCCACTAATTTTCCATTAAACCTGCCAGGTTAAACCAGTTAAGACCAGTGTTGGATGTCATTAACTAAACTATTAAAAATCATTTATTTATTGAAATAAAGCTGAAATAAAATAAACTAGGGATGTAAGAATGTACAATGTGGTTCAATACACAATACTAATCTCAAGATACGATACTCTCAGAATACATTGAACAAAGCCAAAATAGTTAAAATAGTATGTTTTTTAAAATTATTATTACTTTTAACACATATGGCAATCCATCAAGTATTGTTCATTAAAATGCTAAATGTGTATTACATCAGGGGTGAACTTGGGCTTGGACGTGGTCCTTCTCCCTCATGCACAGGTCAATGGTAATATCTGAATAGAAATATTCATACTTCGCTTAGCTAAAAATATAGAATTGTGTTATACATGTATGCTTGCACTCTGTCCCTGACTACATACATTTATTTGTTTTTTAAATATTGTATTTCATAAAAAATGTATTTTGTTTTTAATTTATTATTAATAATTAATTAAATGTGTGATCTTCTGGGTTGACCATATTTGATGCACCATTACCATATCTGATACTAAATTAAATCTGTCTAAACTTGCATTTTGTGTGAACCATACATGATACATATTGTCGCTGTTCGTAATACATATTGTTGCGATATATTGTGACAACTGACAAGATATATTGTTACACCCTTAAACTAAATATTTGATGAAAAACTTATAAAACTTCAAATTCTGAAAAACGTAGCCTAAATGTAAATTAGGGAATGTTGCTCTGGCAACTAACTGAAAAAAAAAAGCTGTTAAAGCTGAAGAAATTTACAGAAACTGGAATTCAAGTTTTCATTCAGGCAAAAAAGTTTTGTTAATTAAATTTGGCTAATTGAACTCTATAAGCTGGTCAGGGTTTGTATCTACAGGTGATAAACCAGTCCCAGTAAAGTTCTTCGACAACGAGGCGAAATTTCAGACGAACAAATTCCTGCTCTAGCATAATTTTTGGAAACAGTGAAGTGTGTTCACACTGCTGACATGTTTACTGGCTAGTTTATCCACGTTGTGTGCTTGAAATTGATGCTGCAAAGCTCTATTCAATTTCACTAGCAAAGCTTAACAATATCCTGGGACAACATGCTAAACCATGCTATTAACAAAACAGACTAGCAATGTGCTAATTCATGCTTGCAATGTTAAATAATTTTAAGAACATGTTAAAACATGTTAGCAATGTGCTAAATCATGCTAGCAACTTGTAAAACATGTTAGCAGTGTGCTAAATCATGCTAGCAACAAGTTAAAACATATTAGCAATGTGATCAAATTAGTGGTCAATCGATTAAAAAAAACAAATTTATCGCACATTCTTTCTGAAATTAATCGCAATTAATCCCACCTAACATTAAAGTTTTTAAATATACTTTTATATTTCAATAATTTCACATTCATAATATTTGTTGTTTCTACATTAATGTAGAAAAAACATTAATAACATAAATATTTGTTTAATGGCATCTTTTTTCATGACCGAAGGCGAGTATCACTGATACCAATACTACTGATGTCTCTAGGAAATTGTTTTTTTCCTCATATTTAACGATTGACTAGCCATTCAACATTACAGTATGATTGAGAGCTATCAATTTGAACATTTATTAGACTTT